ACAACTGATATGATAGCTAATCAGTGATCACAACTATAAAAAGTGTATAGTTCTTACGATATTACAGGTCGTTATTTCCATTTCTAGTTAACTTTAAACATTGGTTAATCGGATATAGATTCGATTCAACTATTTATCAACCGAAAAGACTATGGTTAGGTTCTCTAACTGGAAATTTAATTAACTGGCCGAAAATATTTTTGCATTAAATAAAATTTATAACAATTATAAAATTGTATATAATGTAATATAATTTAATAATATATAAAATAGTAATGATAATATAGTAGTATATATAATAATATAATAAATAGAAATAAATTTTTTATTTACTTAAACTAATAATTAAGGCTCAATTAAAACCTTAATACTAATGTCTTAATAAAATTTAAAATAATTTATTTAATATAAAATATCTTCGAACCAAATTATTAAAACAAAGAAAAATCATTCATTTTAAGAGAAAAACTGTTATAAATTTTGCTAATCATTGGTTAACTAAAAAGAGATTCCTAACCTGTGATTAAGAAAAATCTACAATTAACTAAGTAGTAAATTAACCTGAAGTGAAAACAGCGTTCCTAAACCATATAAGACGTATAGACCTTTTAAGAATGAATTGGAGATAATTTCGCATATCACTTATATGTTCTTGTTCTTAACATTATTGAAAATGTGTGAAAAACACTGGTTAACCGGGTTGCGAAATACATCTCGAAAGAGTGATTGAGTTAAAGGAATATCTTTTAAAAGAATGGATAGTGTTAGTCTTCATAATTTGTTTTTATTAATTCTACATAAAATTAATAGCAGAATTAAAGTTGAAGGATATTTTTTTAAAAGGATGGAGTGATTTTAAACTTGTATATATGATAAATAATCAATGTAGAAAACTTGATTAATATTATTTTATTTTAGTTTTATATACTTTATTTAAAAAATAGTTTAGTTCGGAAAAAACTTTCCCGTACTTTGTTTTGTTTTTGTTTTAAAAACAGTTGTATTAGAAAATAATAAGCTTGGTCGGTCCTAAACTTTTGCGCAGCACTGTATTAAGATTTGTTCAAAGCTATATATTTCAATTAAATTAATTTTATGCAGTTACATTGATTTTATTATTATTATTTTTTTAATATTTTATGTTTTAGTTTTTTTTTAATCAAATTTAATTAAATTTGATTATAACCCCAAAATATTTTTTTTTTTTTCCGAAACCTTCCAATTATTTTTTAATTTTTATTTTATTTTCCTTTTAACTTGTATTTTGCATTGGTGTATTAGTGATATTTTTATATTATAAAAATAAAACTAAGTTTATAATTATATATCAAGAAATTGTGGTTTGAATGTGAATCTCGCCAATTTTTTATGATATCTTGTGTGTACGTTTTAATCAGAGGAAGTATTTCCTCTAAAAAAAATATAATTACTTGATAATAGTTTAAGGTGATAGATAGAAAGAAAGAATTCTTAAGAATGTGCATTCTTAAGTATGTTTTTTTTTGCAAATTTGAAATATAATAATAATAAAAATAATAAAAATATAATAAGACCACACCCTTAATTCAATTCAAGCGACAATAGCATATCTTTCTGGAGATATATGTATATCGCAAAGAGTATTTACAATGATTCATCTGTTAAAATACAGGAACCAATAAATAATGGCAAATCTAAATTATCGAAGAGTATGTTGTTGGCATAAGTTTTGAATATATATATGTTTAGTATGTTTAGGCAAATATATGGAACATGTATTTTTTGCTGATAATTTTATTTTTAATCAAAACGCAGAAGCATCTATATATTTTTTTTTATGATCGTTGATTTTAAATTCGAAGCGCGACTTTGGAACAGATATTGTTGTTGCTTTTCTAATTTATATATTACAGTTAAAGACTTACCATTTTGCCGGTTTTGGTCAATTAAAATTTGAGTTAATTACTATAAAATACCTCTCCACAGTATTAAGATCGCTTATTCAAAAAAGCGGTTTTCAAATTTATATATACGTATATATATTGTATATATAAAGATATGCTTCCTTCGTTTAATTGAATTCGCAAAAGTAGTCTTCTCAGCGCTAATCTCGAAAATTCAAATTATATAAATCGTCGGGAAAACTATTAGACTTTTTAAAAAATTTACCTTAAGGGGAAATATATATCCTGTGTAAGCAGTATTTTTTTTTATAAAATGAACTCTAAATTTATTAAAATTTAGGTAAATTCACTTTGATTAATTATTTTTACAATAACAAATGTCTAAACTGCACTCCAATTACCACAATTAAGTCAATGCACATTAAATATTTTAAATATTTTTTTAGAAAAGCGATTTCTGAGTTTATTAATATATATCAAATGTGATTTTTTAGAATTTATAGAGTTTATAAATTTTATAAGTTTATCAAGTTATAAGATGTATAAATTTATCAATGTATTTTAAATGTTTTCTCAGAATATTATTATCCTGTATAATCAGCAATTATTTAATAAAATGCTTTCCAAGTTTATCAATGTACTTCAAATGTTTTTTTTTTTTTAGAATATTCTTATCCCGAATAATCAGCGATTATTTGAACAAAAAGGATTTCCAAATTTAACAATTTATTTAAAATATTTTTAAAGAATATTTTGATTCTGTATAATCAGTGATTATTCAAAAAAAAGATTTCCAAAATTATAGAAATGTGTCTTCTCCGATTAAACAAATTTCAAATGCGGCCTTCGAAACAGCACTGATCTCCGAAATTTAATTAACATAAATTTATAAGAGAACTATAGGACAATTTAAAATGTGACTATAGACGATTAGATGTGTCACTTTTGGATATCGTAATGCACTAAAATAATTCAAATTATAAAAATCCGTTAATTACGTGCAATTATTATATTAACAAATCATAAAAGAAACATTTACATAAAAAATTGAAGCAGTAAATAAGAGTAATAAAGAAATTAGATGAATAATACTAAATACATATACTAGTCAATTTTTATTGATTCATTACTCATAAGTATTGACAATGTTGGATTAAAAAAATAAAATTTTTTGGTTAAAATTATTTTCTTCGTACAGGGTCTTAAAAGGGTGAGGTAATTTGATAATTATCCCACATATACCACAGTTTACGATTTCATTTTTTTTTTTAAGTACAGATATGGCAATGTGAAAAGATGCGCTATCAGCAAGAAGAATGACGAGCTTCTCTGCTTATTCAGAACTCCTATTAATACTCTATTAAAGCGATTGATAGACAGATGGGGTTATTTAAACAGACTGTTAATATGCCGAAGTGAAATTGGTCTTTGTTTTTGGAATATTTAAATACGACTTAAACTTTCGAAACTTTAAAAATGTTGTGTGTTTTATCAGTGCTTTCTACATATTTCACTTATTTATACCAATAATAATCCCAAAGCGAACATGGATCTTCTATTTTAATAATATAATATTTGATTTTTAACGAGAATTTTTCAACAGATGAAGAGTGAAGCATTTTGTCACATAATAATGACAGTAGCTAACCAGAATCATACAAAAGAGTAAGTTGATTATAGAACCAACATCTTAATTAAATATTTATTGAATCATTACTTTTATAAAGCGAAAAGATTTATTAAACATAAGTTCAGAGTATTAACGTTATTAATTATTAACGTGAATGAACTTTGTGACTGTGGAGTAAATTATAATAAAATTAATGAGTCTAGGCATAAGACGTTTTCACAACTGGAAAACTGTATTTATTTTAAAATGTACAATCAATTAAAAAGCAATTAAATAAAGATTTGTCTATGGCATACGCTTCAAAATTACCCGCAAATAAGTTCTTAATATTCAATTGATTTGAATTGTTTTATGTTCTAAACATTTCTATAAATCATAAGAAAAACAATAATATTTGGATTGATATATAATTTAATAATAATTTGATTACAATATTTATTTTTATTCTACATCATATCACGATGAAATAAACCACAAAAAATAAATATTTTTCAAATAATTGACAATAAATTAAATTATCACAAGCCTCATCTATTGGAATACAATCCCGCCAAAAATCAGAAATTTTTTTTAAGCAAAGTATACAAACAGCTGATTTTTGTTTTGGTCAAGTATGAGCGTAAATAAAAAAGGAGATCGTACGTGATATGTTACAGTGTTGCACTTAAAAAGTTTTAGAGTTAGTGATGTCCTAACATATTAATAACATATTTACATCAATAAGTTATTAATAAGTTCGCATTATAATGCGTTTATTTATATAGCTAATAGAACTTTTATAAACTTACTTAATAATATATCACACAAAAAAATTAAATATATAATCATTTATATACATTTTATATATCAATTACATATTCAATTAATAAAAACAAAGATTTTATAAAGCACTTACTTCCTCAGTGCCTTTGTTCACAGCTAATTTGTTTTCTTTTTTAAATTTCATACAAATCATTTGACATATATATAAAATATTGTTGATATCCCTTGTGGGAAATTTATTTTTGAGGGTTGCATACGACATTTTTCGCTTTAAATGAGCTGATTTATAAACTCATTTATATGGAAACACTTGTATTATCCTCATTAGTGGCTTTAATGAGCAAAACCGCTTAAATGAGACAGTGTGAATGAGCTATTAATGACATAATGTAAGCGTGCAATTAACTTTTACAATACGTGGTTTTGTAAATTTATTAAGGCTTTCAAAGCATAATATATTAATAATACAAAAATTAGTATAAAATTATATTGGAAAATTATAAAATTTAAATATGTTTCAATTTGCTTATTTTCATACTTTTTCAATAAAAATTCCGTACTCTTTTAAAATTACCATGGCAACCCTAATTTAAACGCACGTGCCAATATGTTTTGTGTTTTTGCTTTCGGCATATCGGCGAAGCACATTTTAATTTGTTTTAATTTATAAATAAATTATAAAGCAATTTAAATACATTAATTAAATTATAATTAATAACATATATAACATAAATTGTAAATAAAATAAAATGGCAGTTGATGCGGGCACACGAAAAAGAAAAAGAAAACATAAGGAACTGGAAATTGGGCAGGAGGAAGAAACCGTTGTGCCCACAAAAGTAGCCAAGCAATCGAAACCTAAAAAACATAAAAAAAAGGCATCGATAAGTGATAAAACAAACAATGAACCTAATGATGAACAACCATTTGAAGAAGATCCAGTTCCTGACGATGGGGCCATTGCTGGTGGGTCTTTGCTTAAGGCGAGCGCAGCAAAGAGCGAAACTAATAATGACTCTGGTTTTGAAGAAACAAAATTTTCTAAAGATTTTAAAATGTTAAATTTTAGAGAAAAACTAAGGGGTAACAATTTTATAACAGGTGTGTAAATAATATTTAACATTATTCTTCAGAATTTATTAAAAACTATATCTTTTAGAGTTGCGACACTTTTTGCATTTGGCACACACACGTCCACAGATAATTGCAAAGTACATAGAAAAACGCGGAAAGCCGCTTGAATTAGCAGAGGCGTTGGAACGCATCGATAAAACAAATGCTGCACACGTTAATTATGTGTGTGAAGCATTGCAATTGGTGGTTATGGAAATTATAACGAATCAAAAAGATCATATGGAATCGGCAGTGCACGCATGTCGTTATTTCTTGAAATCCTATGGCAGTACTTTAGAGCTTTTATTGCAATCGACGCAGTTACAACATCGCCGCACTGCACTTAAACTGTTGACGGCAATTGTTTGTGCGGAACCACAATTGGGGCGACAAATATTAAGTTCATATGATGTGCTTTCGAATGTCAAAACAATAGAGAACTTATTGTCTCATTCCAAATTTGAAATAAATGACAGTGAAACTGTGCGCAAGTGCTACATACATTTTGTGCTAGCCTATTTGATTGATGGTAATACTTTGCTCATACGTAATATTCTCGATCGTGGTGCACTGTTACGTGGGCTAGCATCCGGACTTATATACGATGACCATGTCACCGCTTGTGTAGTTATTAGTACTTTACGCCAATATGTGTTGGAATGTGCAGAAATTTCGAAGACGAAGAAGACAAACGTTTTTGATTTGGAATGTTGTAAGCATTTTGTGCGTTTGTATGATTGGCAAGGACCAAAAGTGTATGCGGCCAAAGCGAGCAAAAAACAAAAAACTGATTTAATGCCAAAGGAAATTCAAGAAATTGTGGATGCCGATGAAAGGGATGCAGTAGCAAGTGCGGCACATGAGTTTTTGGTCATTTTACTCACATCCCGAAAACATGGTATAACATTTGATGCCATCACTCATTTCCGTGAGAAACATAATAGCATACAGGGTAAGTTGACGATAATGTATGTGCCAGACAAGTCATTAATAAAATTGTTTTGTTCGCGATAGGTAAATTGCTTGGATTTCTTTATAAGCCTTGGTGTGATACGCGTAAAATCGAATTAGTCGTAAAAGTGTTGTTAGCGTGTCCCGAGCTTGCACGTCACACTGTGCGTCATTTTTCTGGTATTGTGAATCCTATGCGTACAATAGCACGAGATTGGGTTGCTGCAGTTAACTTTTTAAACACAATTATTGCTACATTACACCCTAAGTTATTGGGCAGTGCTTTGGAGAAATTAACTATAACAGATTTCACATATTGGATCAAAGATATTTGTTTACCTGTTGAGACGCTTGTGTTGCTAACTGGTGCTAAAATGTTAAAACATCAACAATTTTCTTTTCGTTTAGCAACCAATCGTTTGCTTTTAACCATGTTCACACAGTACCAAAATTATGTAGAAATTGTGAGAAAACGTGAACAGGTGAAGAGCGGCAACTCATTGCGGCGTTTCAAATTTGATTTACTGAATCATATACTTGTCAATTTTCCAACAGTTGAAGATATTTTGAATTCACTTTATGCATCTATACAATTGCAACATAATGAAGATGTTAATGTGCTGGAACACTTAGATGTCGCTTTGGATCTTTTGTTGGTGATATGCAAAGAGAACCAAGCCTTTGTGAATAAAACCAGTACAATTATTGATTATATAAAGCTACTACGTCCACTTTATCAAACGGAAAATAGCGCTAATATAAAATTAGAGTTAAAGGCGATCAAAACAATATTATTACTCTTTCCAAAGGCATTGGAGCCAGGTGAAGAGTTATTCAACAATGTGTTAACTTCTTTCATCAAGGCATTTGTGTTTGGAAGTGGTGATGTGCAAAGAGAAGCAGGTGAATTGCTACGTGGCATCTTTATAAATACTGGAATATTTGATTCAGGTGAACTGGAAATTGACTTATGGTTAGAGGCGTTAAGATTTTGCGATGCTGAAACTGTTGATATTGTGACACAGGTCTTCAATGAAGTCTTACAGGTAAGCTTGCGACATTATTGTTTATTTTTGTGTTATTAATAATTGTTTATACTTTAGGTCACAAAACTTGAAGTGGAACAAATTAAAACCGATGAAAAAGTGGAAAATTCAAAATCTTTGCAAAAATTATTTGAAAATATTGAGCAAGGATTGACACTGCAGGCATACATAGAAACACTCTCGATAAGCAAACTAATGCCATTAATTTTCAAAGGCGTTGAAATTGAGGAACAATTGGGAAAATACTTAGAAACTGTTTGCTTGCTTATGTATCATTATTATCCCATGCCGAGTCATGTTTATAAATTGTATGAAATGAAGTTTGAACAACTAAAATCTTATATGGAGAGTTGGTTGCCTGGTAATGAGCGTGAACCAATACAATTAACAGACTCATGGGCCAAAGTAGTGCCTTATATGCAAAGTGTACAAAGTGCAGTCTTAAAAGGAGATCTAGACTTCATAAATATATTCTGTAAATCAAGCGCAGACCATACTTTGGAAGTAGAAGTAATGGGTAAGCAACTGAAATTACCTGGAATTTTTTGCAATGAACGTTTGGTTATGCTTTACGTGCAACAAGTGCTATTTTTGGTGGCACAACTTACAGTCAAACAGTTATTGACACGCGTGCAAGCGCAGAAATCTGCTGATTTACTAATAAATTTATTGAGTGTAATACGTAAGACTGATGAAAAACGTTGTGAAGCTAATGCAGCTGTTGAGGAGCAAACAAATGTTAGTTTTATACAGAAAATGATCAAGTATATTTTCAGTGTGCGTATTGCACATATAAACACAGCAGACCTCCTTAATGCCAACAGCGAAACAAATTTAAATTTTATATACTTTTTGTATCAAATCACTGAATATTGTAATGTTTTGCCAGATTTTACATTGCACTCCACAAATTATAGGCTTAAAATCGTTAAAGCTGTTGGCATTTCACTGCAGTCTCTCGAAGAAACCGTAACTCACAGCTCTAAGCTTTTGGATGGTATTAGTTTGATAAAGGCGTTAAATTTGGAAACTGAGGACTGTATTGAAATATTAAATTTGGTTATCAATAAAGTCAAGTACACAGATTTGTTTGTGTCTGACGGTACAACAAAAAGCTTCTATTATGAATTGCTTGTCTGTGTATTGATGCGTTTAGCTGGCTTACAAAACGCTATTAAATGTGATGACTTTATTAAAAAGTTTGCCAAATTATATATAAACTTCGTGAAGAAACTTGGACAAGAAAGACAAGTTGAAGAGCTGGAAGAAGCATTTTATAATTTTTTGCTACTTTACCATCAAAATATTAAATTGTTAAGTATCAAATTCTTTAGTTCACTGCTTACAGAACGTAAAACAAGTAAGTCTAGCATAAAGTTAGCTTGTTTATTGCTATCACGCGATACAAAACTGCACCAAGAGTTCATCACACAACTGCCCGAAAAAATCACCAAAAAAGAATTAATTTATCCGCTTTTAAGTACAGCGTTTAAGCAGAATTTGTTATTTGAGAGTTCCTTACTCCAAAGTATTTATCAGGAATATAAAAATGGTTTCATGAAAACTATCGAAAAACCACAAAAAGCAGGTGTGATCTATAAGGAGCACGCCGATTGCAGCATAGCATTGATTGAACGCTGCATGCCCAAGTCGGAGTGTGTGGATTTTTGTAATAAAAATTTAAAAGTAGATGCTGTGGAATTATTTCAAATGCGTATCATCAATGCCATTTATAAAAAAGCCTATAATTCCTTAGACGAGAATGCTTTAGAACAAAAAGCAAATATTTTTGTTAACTATATAAATTTGCAAATACAAATGCTGAGCACTGACATGAAGAAGTCAATTGTAGATACTAATAAAATTGAACTATTCGCTTTTATGCTTTACGATTGGTGGCAATCAGCTTATACAGACGTTGCGGAGAAAACCTTACCATTCGAGGCAAATTATAGCAAAATTCTGCATAATCAGCAATGGTTGAATTTTTGCAAAACTTCTCTAAAAACTGCTATGCAAATAAATGAGTCTGAGTTGAAAATTGCCGAAGCCGATCAACGTAATGGTTTAATACTGAAGTTACTGGCATATATATGTGGAAATCTCTACACACTAGAGGAAGGCGGTGAAGGCAGTAGCGCTTCACAGCTTTTCGACATAATTTGTACACATTCAAAGTTCTATGATATTATCTTACAAACTACGAATACACAAGTGAAAACACAAGTTCTACATCTACTGTATGTATTGGCGAAGAAGTCACCGTCAGCACTAAATCAAAGTCAAATACCATTTATCTTAGGTGCCTATCAAGCAAAGTTAACACTCGCCGATCGCTATACACTGGGACTACTGGAGTTGTATGAGTTACATGACTGTGGCTTACAACAATATCGTCCATATATATGGGGTGAGAGTGCAGTAGCTTTTTATGCTTTACGTAGCACAGACGAGGAACGCACTAAACTCAAACAACAAGAAACATCCATTGAACAAGTTATGTCTCTGATTGATCGACAAGTCTGTGAATATACGTTGACTAATTTTCCAATCTGGCGTAAACTACATGTTGGGCAACAAATGCCCTCTATTTGCTTTGAAAATCCAGAACTGAAAGCACTGCGTTTTGGTACAAACAGTTTAGAGCGTTCCATCGAATCAGGCACGACAGCTTTTGTTGCTGCTGAAATGCTCATATGTCCGAAACGTGATGGCATTTATGAACAGTGCTACGATCCAGCATTTGTCGTGCCTTTAATGATTATGTGCTTTTCACCTGAAGCTTATGCACATCCCGCACGGCCCGTACAAAATGGTTTGCTTGCTGTTGCATTTGCTGCACTTTCTTCACAGGACAGAGATATGCGTTTGGCTGCAGGCTGCGTTCAATTACGTTATCGTGCTCACTTTGAAAATAGTAAATTCTTTGAACGTCCCTTGTGGATACAAACGTATGAAAATATACAAGCTGGTTTGAGTGAGTTACGTGATGCTTGGATGAAGCACAAGAAAAGTCATAGCACACCACGTGTGCCTTATATATCTGGTCTATTCATAGCTAAAACTTTTAATATCACCACTGATTCCACACATTTGCTATATAAACAGCTTACCATGTATTTACGTCTGAAAAGCACATTCAATTTCCAATGTATACCAGAATTCAATGTACTCTTTTATTCGCACGAAGTGGAACATCAACAGTTCCGACGTTTCATATTGGAAGTGATATGCAATGGTATTAAGTGCAGCTCTGATCTATTTCTTTTAGTCAGCACAAATACATTTAAGGTACTAATGGGCTTCTATGGCAGCACAATGTCTACGTTAGATATTAATTTGCTGATATTGTCTATATTTTCAACTTGTGCCAAAATACCAGGATCTATAAAAATTATAATCGAAAATGTAGGGCTCCTGTCTTGGTTAAGTTCAATTGTGAACTCAACTGAATTCTATCAGTTCGATGTGATAGAGGGTCTTATCACTGTGATCAACAATTTGTGGTATTCACTTAAAGCCAGTGCTGCTCAATTTCATAATATTGAACATCTCAATGCGGATATATATCGACTTATTTTATTATTATTACCTCTGCTGTCACCCCGTATTTCAGTGGGCAATTTCTCGAAATTGTTGAATATTATGCAGAAAACAGCTGGTAGTAAGCAATCATATCGTGCACTCTCATCTGACCAATTAGACAAATTAATAGGTTGCGCACAGCGACATTTCCCGAAATATGTGCAAAATATTGAGAGTATTAAGAAGAACGGCGGAGATGGCGCTGCAACACATGTTGAATATTGTCAGGACTTGCATAGTCAAGGGGAATCACCTATGACTGTGTTGGCACTCTCCAGTTTGCGCGGTTATGTTATAGATTGGTGGTCGAATACAAATGTTGATGCTCTCACAAACAGCATAGTTGTGGATGATCTAAATATAACAGAGATTTAATATATGTATATTAGGTAAAGTATTTTAAGGTTTATAGAATTTTGCTTTTTTTTTTGTAAATGTTTAATTTTGTAAGTTTTAAATTAATTAAGTGTAAACTAATTGTTATAAAAAATTAAGTTTTAAAATGTTCAACTTATAGTTTATAAATAAAATGAATATTTTTTATGTATTTTAACTACTGAATGCCATTTAATTCGTATATGTATAGATTTTATATATCTCTTTTTTATATAAATGTTTCTTTGGTGATACCAAGGGATCCACTTAGGTCCATTGTGTTACTGTATAATCAAAAACACAAAGATTAGAACCACTTAGAACCTTTGGCAAAGCTAATAATGCTATTCGGAGGAAGGTTTTGCAGTTCACCAAGTTCCTCGAAAAAGAAATCTCCTAAAGTGACAAGACGGACCCGTGTACGTATTAAACAGAAGCAAAGCAGATGGGAGACATTTTAGTCGTTCTCTCCACAACTGCGGTAGGTGTGGTTGAAAGGAAGAATTAGTCTCGTAGCATGGTTATCTAAATTATATTGGCCTGTACTATTATATATATATGTTTCTTATAAAAATAAACAGAGTTTCTTGTTACAAAGTCATATAAACAAAAAAGGTCCAAAATATAAAATTCTATAGGAATGGTGATTATTTTCAATAGAAAAGTCAAGGAGTCAAAGAAAAGTCGGCCTACAAAATAATTTTTATTAATTAAAATTTTTTTTGTCACAGTCGCAACCAACTTATTGTGTATGCTCGACACTTTAAAAAGCGCTCATTGATAATTTTTTGGATATAATGGGAATATACATTAACAAACTTCAGACGGTGTAAAAGTTTTGGGCTTGGATCTAAGTAAGCTCTCATCACAAACAACTAAATCACTAGTCGGAAACGAGAATGTGGCAATAAAAGGGTATAAAAGTACTATTTCTACTCATGTTGTTGTTGCTGCAGCTGAAATCCGACCTGAGAGCAAGTGCATAAAAGATTGACAAGAGACTGTATAATGGGTTGAGATAGGGAGTGTAATATGAAGTAAGGAAAGTCTACAGCAGAGATAGGGATGTTGCATCCGATATCGGTACAGGTAAAGAAATTTTGTCTCTTCCACCGAGCGGAGTTATAAATTGACAGGACAGATTTTTGTGTATACTTGGGTAAAGAAAACTGAACTAATCGTCTTCGCTGACTAGTAAGTTTCGTTCGTTCGCCTCTCCAAGCAAATTGAGGAAAGGAGATGTCTGCTTGTTTTGGTATTTGTTGTACATCTAGTTGAACATCAATCAACGAAAATATTAGAAACCACTTATTTAATTTTAATGATTAAGGTCAATTTAAAGTTAGTGCCGTCACAGCCCTCATAGATCTATAAGGTAGGTATCTTGTTACGAATTACAAGAACGTATCTATGGGTTAGGAAATGAATAGGTGCTGGTAGTGCAATAGGAGACTAGATTGCTTAGAAGTAAAAATGGATTGAAGAATGGATAAATGAATGAAGATTCTACAGCTTTGTACATTGAGAAGTAAGTCGTTTGTCGATGAATTTAAAGCTAAAACTCACGCTAAGGGTAAAAAACGAGTGAAAGCAGATAGGTACTGGTAGTGCAAGAGGAAACAGGATTGCTTAGGAGTAAGAATGGATTGAAGAATAGATAATAGATAGATAAAGATTCTACAGTCTTGTATATTGAGTAGCAAATAATTCGTTTGTTTATTGGATTGGTTAGGAGTAAGAATGGATTGAAGAATGGATAAACGGATGAAGATTCTACAGCTTTGTAGATTGAGTAGTAAGTAACTCGTTTGTCGATCAACTTAAAGTCAAAACGCTAAGTGAAACATACCTGATATATTAAATTAATTTTATTTATTTAGTAATTAGGATAGCGAGAAGGTCATACATATTTAAAATGAATAAATAAAGAAATTCCAAATTATTTCACTTTAAATTTTTTGCTCTACAGAATTTCTTAAATATTTTCTATAAATTACATATTTATTTTTCCTGAAAAATAAATAAAATATCTTCAATTTCATTTTAATTTTGAAGAAATACACAAAGTAACAAAATATTTTGTCATTGCCAGAATTTCGGTTAAAGAATTTTGGTTGAGAGTTTGAATGTTGGAAATGTGGTACTTTCAGTGGCAGTTGACGAATGTACATATTTCGGAATTCGAAAAGTCACAATATTGGTTAAAATTGACCACAATAAAATGTTTCTTTTAAAAAAAATTTAATAACAACTTTTCATTGGAACTGAATCAAACTGTATTTCATCCGGAAATGTATTTAAAAGATGAAGGTGTGTATAAGATTGACCAAATGAAATTCTATTAAATTTGTAGGAATTTGGAAATATGAACGATTTCTTTAATATTCTGTGGTTAATTTAAAAGGTACCACAATGGGGAAGAAATGTACGGTGTTGCATTAAGTAAGAGTTGACATTTCTAATAGAATATTAATTGTTTTTAACCCAATATCTGGAATTGCTTTTTACAGCTCTTCTTTGAGGTCAATACTATGCCAGAATTTAATGTTGTGTAGTTTGGTCTGGACTAGTTTGTGGTTATCTGCCTTCAAGGCTTAAGACCGCGGTGTTCTAAGAAACACATGTATTAAGATAATGCGCCGATATATAAACGTCCCATTAAAAAATCCAAGGAATTTCCACCTTGATCAATTACCAGTTATATGTCACATGCAACATCTGTTGTTCTTTGAGTCACAGCAACCGGTATGAATACGCAATTCCACGCTGATTGAAAGTAAAATATAATCCTGCAATCATCCCAAACTAACGCGTGAGTTTAACTATAACCACAGCCACCACAACACTGTCAACCACAATTGGTCAGGACAGTCGAAACTACGGGCATTGACCTCCGTGGTACCAGTTATACACCTCCAGTGGGGTGTCGCAAGTGAATCTCACTCGCTACCATTCACACTCCGAAGAATGTCGGAATGACAGCGAGATTTTAGTGCCATTTTACGACAGGCATGGCTTACCTCGGAAATATTCAAACCCCTTACCCACAGGGGGATCAATATTATGCCAGTAAGAGATTGTTGTAGAGTTTTGAACAAATAATGAAATGTCAGAGCAATGTTAATACCATAAGTAAATCAATTAAAACTTTACCGCCAAGGTGGCTCACGGCGATAATATGAAGGATTATAAGAATCAACTTTTTGACCGATATTGCTAAATTTATTACCATCCAATGAAAATAAAATAGAACAGCGACATTGTTTTGTAGGTGTAATTTGCTCTTAGTATTCTTCAAGCTTTTTCAATTGCAAACATTTATGCCTGAAAAACGGTTGACAATTTGGGAACACCTACAGATGTTTGATATTTAGTTTCTTTGATAATAAACCTGTATCATTACCACTATCCTTCATGAAATCATACGTGAAATTTGCGGTAACGAAACCGTTGAATAAAGATTCCCTTGTTTTTCTTCTCAAGAGCATACTTCTATTAAAATTATTGATGATTGATTAGTATATATAAATATATTTCACATCCAAATAGTAATCTCAATAGAATGTTCATAAATTTTGCAATCTAATAAGGAAAACAATTTGTCAGAAGCAGCTATTGTGATGCTTCAAACCCAAGCGAACAGAAGAACGCCGAATACTTATCCTAACCTAACGAATGCGTTTACATCGAATGGTTCTCAACAGACTATATAAGCTACACTCTAAAAAACATCTTATCCCACGGAAACTATAATTATTGCTACTGAATCTAGCCACCTACCAATTTTCCATTCATTAATTTTCCAAAATAGACTTTATTTTCACGAAAAAAAATTGCGGACCCCTTTACATTCTCTCTGTGCTTCTTTAAGAAAACATTGAGACTTGATGTCTTCCTTTATTAAGCGAGTAGTTAAAGCTTCTTTGTTACAATTACTGGTGCTTTGTTAAAGAAATCCACATTCATCTTCATCAACATCAGGATAAGTTTGCATTTAAATTGGTAATTAACGCAGTGAAAGCGGAAGCGGTGGCAAAAAGGAAACAATCAAAAGCACAAAAGATAAAATACAATGTGAGATTGCGATGTGGATGAAGACAAAATATAAAAAAAAAACGCTTTGAGGTTCAAATTGATTGTCACCAGAAGTAGACGAACACCCAAATGCACGTATGAAGGAACGACAAACCAAGCGAGAGAGTCGCTTAAGTATGAGAAAATGGAGACGCTAAAGCGCTGTGTGACAAATGTCACTGCCACCGAGTGACACAAAAGCAACGGCAATAAAATTTATACACTTAAGTTATCTTTTCATTAAATCAAAATAACTATGTACGAAATATTTTTACAATCAGGAAAGAGGATGGGTTCAACGCAATGGTTTAAACCATCTTACGCCTCTAACATCCTAACGAAACTTGACAATGGCGACATGGAAATGCAAACATCACATGAATAATAAAGTCAGATTCAAATTAAAATTAGTGGAAAATTTGAGCGCTACTTTAGGTTAGGTGAACTTCAATATTATATATACTTTATGAGCTTCAAATTTGCTAGGGCACGAGTTCGATTCTTGGTACTTGAAGTCTCAAAAAATTATTCACGAATAATTAAACACAAGAATTATTTTCATGGCCACTGATGGATGATGGATAAAAATTCAATTAATTGAAATAATATAAAAAAAGAATTTTTGTTGTTCTAATTCACTACTTTTCGAAATCTCACTATATACCCATAATATAATAATAATACGAGTTCTAACATATTGTGATATATTTAGGTAACAAACAGTAAATCAGATCAAAACAACGTGGAAGGCAATGGTTTGATAATTATACATTTTATTTATTTTGAGTATCCTGAGAAAGGGATTTCTTTGACATATGTTAAAAACAATATAAGGTCCACTTTATCGGAATATATTTCCAGTTTACAAATACCGAAACTGTTATCCATGCAATTCCATGATTACCCAAGCACTGGATTGGTTAGCATTAATGATAGTAGATTTGAGCCTGTTAGAACTCCGTTGAAAACTTTATGAAACTGATTGTGACTGTTGGTCACTCAACATATCTATAATTCTTTGTGATAATTAGGGCAACCATATAAACTATGGGCTGCTATCTCAACGTTATTATTTTGCAGGGATTTTTGTCTATTGGCTTCTTTGACTCCACCATGCTAAAAAGATTGAGGACTAGAAACTGTTTGAAACGTAGGTCGGAAAAGAAACTTTACAGAGATTTAGTTAACTGAATATTAACCTCATAAAATATACTAGAATAGAGAAGGTGTTTGACTTCTCCATAGACAAGAAGCTCGTGAAGATATTAACCAAAACCTCTCAATAGTCCTATCAATTAATAGGACTATCAAGTAAGTAACATGCCGTATTAACTTAGAAAGAGTAGTTATTTCACGATATATTTCACAGTGTTAAGTAATGCGTGTAGACATCTTTGTACCTCATTTATTAAGGTTTCGACGCTTTCAAACATATTCGAAAATTATAGTCTCCTGTCAAACAATATCATTTATAAGCAATATATTTAGTATGTGCAAAAAATGTTAATAGCTTTCCCAAAAAGTTTGAACATAACATACTTTCCCGAAATGTAGTTCGCTATATTTTTCACAACACTTAATGAGGAAATGTATTATAATTTATTTTTAACTGCATAGTTTAAGGCGTAGAAGATAGATGGATTATCTTTTATGTAACAAAACGATGTGAACATTTTTTGAATTATTTTTTGCGACAATAAAGTTTACTTAGGCATATAAGAAACAATTTATCTTTCAGTTTTTAAGCGTTGGTCGTGATTAATGTGGAAAATTTAAATTCTGAATTAAGTGGATTGGCGTCGATGGTCAGTTACAATGATTAAGGATAATAAGTAAATCTACAAAAAAAACCAAAAAAAATATAAAAAGAATGATAGAAGTACAGGAATATATATCAATAAAAATATTCTTATATAAAACTCTACATATATTATATAGTTTTTTATAATAAGAGCTTATATTTGTCTTGGGAGAAGCTATAAATATTTTTTTTATTTGGTTTGATTCGTTTGATCGGTTTCCAACTACTTCTTTCCTTGATATGCAAATTTTTATCAAATTAATTTTCAAGATATTCATATTTCTTAATGTACTTTTTAATCGTGTTTAATTCGTTTCTGAATTATTAGATTCGAAGTATCGCAGTTTCCTCCTTCTCCGGCATTTATAATTTTATAAAAATTAATTAGTATTCTGCTTTCTCACCTTTGTTTTTATTGTTTATGTTAATTTTATTAAGTTTAGGATTAGAAGTTGATTCTTAACCAAAGAATCAAAGTAAATAAGGTCTGAGAACCTTTAAAAATATAAAATGCAAATTATACAATTTAAATAATTTATTAAAAATTATTTCCATAACAACAGTCACTATTTAAAAAAATAGAGGATATATAACTTTATTTATATATATATAGTATATACTATACCTATAGTATATACTTCAAATCACTTTTGAGTCACACCATAATGTAATTAGATTGGCTTTTCAGTGGTCGAAGATGTAGATGCAGAGTTATCGATATGTGTGTCAATTGATGTATATCGAGTTCCGACTGGACGACTAGGTGGTGGACTTCCGGTTACAAATGGAATAACTGGCTTTCTTCCTCTTGGACGTTTATTTTTCCTTATTTTCTTATTTTTCCTAATATGAGACGGACTTCTTGTCATTGAATGCCTTGGATTTTTAGTAATGGAAGTTGATGTTATATTTGTTGCATGTGGAAATTTAGAAATTTCTGTTGGTATAATGTTGGGATGCTCTGTGAATGGTGGTAATGAAACTGCAATCGGTTTTGTTGTAACAACTGCGTCCGGTGGAATTAAAATTAATGGATCAGTTGTGACTGTATTTAGTTCAAGGGTAGGGTTAATCCATATTTTTGTGGGAGTGGGAGATGGTATAATGGGTATTGCTGCTGCTCTCGGTATGACTGAAATTTCAGTTATTGGTATAAAACGAGGCTGAACGCTTGGATTTAGTATTACAGTTGGATCATTAGTAACTGGTACATCAGTAATTGGTACATTCGTCACTGGTACATCAGTAATTGGTACATCAGTAACTGGTACATTCGTAACTGGCACATCCGTAACTGGTACATCCGTGACTGGTATATCCGTTACAGGTAAATCAGTAACTGGTAAATCAGTAACTGGTAAATCAGTAATGGGTACATCGGTAACGGGTACATCAGTAACGGGTACATCAGTAACTGGTAAATCAGTAATAGGTAAATTAGTAACTGGTAAATCAGTAATGGGTACATCAGTAATTGGTAAATCAGTGATTGGTACATCCGTAACTGGAACATCAGTAACTGGTAAATCAGTAATGGGTGCATCAGTAACTGGTACATCCGTAACTGTTATATCAGTAACTGGTAAATCAGTAACTGGTAAATCAGTAATTGCCACATCAGTAATTGGTACATCAGTAACTGGTAAATCAGTAACTGGTAAATCAGTAATAGGTAAATTAGTAACTGGTACATCAGTGATTGGTACATCCGTAACTGGAACATCAGTAACTGGTAAATCAGTAACTGGTACATCAGTAGCTAGTACATCAGTAACTGGTACATCAGTAACTGGTAAGTCAGTAACAGGATTCACAGGATTAACAGGATTAATAGCTGCTGTAATTGGATCCAAAGTTAAAAATTCTATTGGGCGCCATGGTGCAATAGGTCTAAATGGCTTTGCTGGTAATATGGTTATTACATCTGTTTGCTCAGGACTTGTTATTGGTATGACCGTCTGGGGTGGCCACAAAACACGTCCGATAAAAGATGGCAGTGTATTTGTTTCAAATGGTATTGTCATTTGTGGTGATTCTGTAGGCAAAGGGTCGATCAGATCAGGATTTGTTATTAGTATATCCGTTACAGGTTCTGGCCAGCGTATTGGTCCGATAATACGTGATGGCAGTGTATTTGTTTCAAATGGTATTGTCATTTGTGGTGATTCTGTAGGCAAAGGGTCGATCAGATCGGGATTTGTTATTAGTATATCTGTTACAGGCTCCGGCCAGCGTATTGGTCTGATGATACGAGATGGCAATGTATTTGCTTCAAATGGTATTGTCATTTGTGGTGATTCTGTAGGCAAAGGGTCCACCAGATCTGGATTTACTATTAGTATATCCGTTACAGGCTCCGGCCAGCGTATTGGTCCGATAATACGTGATGGCAGTGTATTTGCTTCAAATGGAATTGTAATTTGTGGTGACTCTGTAGGTAAAGGGTCGACTGGTTCAAGCCTGATGATACGAGATGGCAATGTATTTGCTTCAAATGGTATTGTCATTTGTGGTGACTCTGTAGGTAAAGGATCGATCAGATCAGGATTTGTTATTAATATTTCTGTTACAGGCTCCGGCCAGAGTGTAGGTCTGATGATACGAGATGGCAATGTATTTACTTCAATTGGCTTAATAATTATTGGTGGTGTGGTAGCTATTGAATCGACAGGTTCTGGATTTGCTATTAATATAATAGGTTGTGGATCCATCTTAATTGGAGGCCTAGTAATTCGAGGTGATATTGTTTCGGCTTTTACCGCTGCATCTGCTTGTTGTGGAATTGCCGCTGCATCTTTGGACAATGCTAAAAATGCCAAAAATGAAAAATAATAAATAAAAAACTTCATTTAAAAAAATCTTTGGCGACGACTTCGCGATTGTGAATCCAATCACAAATTTCTGTTATACGTTTAATCTTAATGAATTGCAATGTATTTATACAATTCCACTGTTATTCAATTGAATTGTTTATTTATTTACATCACCGATTTATTTGTATACATTATGTGTACAATTTATTTTTATTTAAATAATTCCAATTGTTTCAGAAAATTTTTAAAATAAACATCTCTTCTGTGTATGTTTACGTTCGGGGTTAATAATTTTTGAAACCACAGCTGAGCAACCCGAAAAGTAACGTTTAGCATTCTTGTAGTTGATGAACTAAAGGTCATGAATTTATTTTCTTCATATATGACGTATATGATATATATAATATATACTTCCAAACACAATACTCTATTATAATCAGTTGAATGAAGTTCATTTAAAAGTTAAAGCTGTAAACAGTGTTTAAATAAATATAAATTAGATAATTTATAGATAATAACAGTATTAAGATAAATATAATTAGATAATTATTTAGACAATTAGATGAAAACTGCGGTCATTCTTTGTGATTTACATATCACTGATAGGTGCCTAAATTGGACAAATCTTTAAAATATATTTTGTTGGTCTCAAAAACTTTCTGCAGATAACTTTGGAATAATGAAGTGAAATTGCAGTTTTTTCACTAGTTAGTCTATAGGCGTTTATTATCATAAAATTTAGTATTTTCTATTATGGCTGTAATGAAGGTGTTTATTGATATTTTTATAAAAAGAAACTATTGGACTGCAATACCAACAAATATTGGTATTTGTCTATACTTTGTAAATGGGTTGAGTACCCCTTAAACCAAGGTTTATCTGATTGCCAAATATTATAGTTAGCAGCAGTGTGCATGAGTAAAATTATATTAAATAATTTAACATTAACTATTAGTGTCACCAACAGATTACTTTGGCTGTTATTATGGATAAAGAGCATATCTTCTTCTTCTTCATTCCATCACGTTCCCAGGGGAACATTGGCCCATAACGAACTCTAACCAACTGTCACAATTTCTTGCCAGGGTTTCAATATCTCCAAAGGTTTTTTCGCTTGCTTAGATTTCTTCCTCTAGTGTTCGTTTTCACGTTTGATTGGGCCTACCAGGCCTACCTTCTGCTTCCTTGAGGATTCCACGATAACGTTTGTTTGCAGATTTCGTTTGGTGACTTCCTCAATGTGTGCCCGATTCATTGCCATTTACGCTTTTTGATTTTATTTTCGCTATTGTATATACTGCTTTATAATTACTTGGCGGTTTACAATTATAGAATGTGCCATTTGTTAAGATTTTTTCATGTTATTGTCGTTAAAAAAGTATAATTTAATCATTATTAGGTAGGTAGGTAGGTTGGAGTGGATGCCTTTCTACCAAAAAAGCCCACTTGAGCTCATATAGTAGCCCATTGTGGTACGTTAGGAATAGCATTGTTACGTACATAGATTGAAAGATAAGTATATGACCAACGCTGAAAAAGTAACGACTAATCATTGTTAAGAAACACTAAAAATAATTTATTAAGAGTAATCCTTAACCCATATCCGCCCAAGGATTTTTTTTTGGTGGTTTTGGTTTGTTTTAAAGCTTAATAAGTAAGTAGAGTGAAGTAGGGGGTGTGGAGTAAAGTCATAAATATTTTTTGTAAAGCTAAAGCTTCATACATTCAAAGTAATGACATATATAAACTCTAAAGTTTTCCTAATATAAACAAAAAATCCATGAAAAATGGTAAAAGTTGCTGTTCGATTAATCGAACGTTGGGAGGATATGGGGTAATATTTATTTCATTTTAAAAATAATTTTATAGCTATTTGTTTATTACTTTAGTTTAATCGGATTATGTTTGTGCAAGTTTATTAAACCTTATGACTAAAAATGATAATAAATTTTATTAACTTCTCACATAAAATTTTAAATATATATATCATTTTTTATTTACTCTATAAATCTTTTAAATAGCAAATAATAAAATTAATATAAACAAAAGCAATTGTTTAAACAAATGAGTTTCACCAATGCATGATAAAAAGAATAAATTTATGTTTACCTAAAAGTATGCAATAAATATTTTCTATAAAAATTTCAAACTTTTGTGATTAAAATAGTTCTTGTTTTTTCTATTAAATCCTAAATTCCTTAAAAATAAAATAATATTATTTTAAAAGCTTAAAATTAAATATATTTTTGTTATTTTTAATTTTGTATTAAAACGACAAAGTAATTGTAATATTATTTTAAATATTTTCTTTTTATTTTGCTTTTTGTGGGAAGTTCACATCAAAAGAATCATATTGCAATAAACTATTTTTCCAATGCATTTCCGCCTACTTAAACAATTTTGTAGTGTAAAGGAAATAGGAAAATAAAATTTAAATGAAAAACCTCAAATATAACAAAGAAGATGGAAATATTTATTTTTGTTGTAACTATGTAACTACCATAAAACACATAGAAAGACGCTCGTTTATTGTTTGCTTTGTTTGTGTATTTTTGCTCATACAAATTATTTACGAAAGGAACTGCCTCAGACAAATTATGTGCACAGTTTGCAGTCAAATAAGCGTTAAGTTTTTTTCCCAAGTACTTCTATTATTTCGTAAAAAATAGTTATATGCAGTATTAAAGTTAAGAGGGCTTAAGACCAATTTGAACCGGCATCGGTGACAGTTATAAGTTACTACAAAGATAATTCCAATATAATTTATTGGAGATTGGAAACAACTGAAGTAATTTAGTGAGATATAGGAAAATTCTCTTAGTCTAAATGGTTCTTCTCAAAATAGTTCTTCTCTAAACAAACAATTGTGGTTGTTGTGAATTTGTTGTTCTTTGTACGTTGCTTTTGCATTTACATTGTTGCTTTTGGTAATTTTCTGTGTCTAATGAAAATATATAAAGAAAATTACTATAAGCTGTTTAATAAATGTAAAAAAATATTATTTTATTTAAAAACCATCAGAACTCACATCATGATAACTAGTTATTTGCTCATTATTACGTATATATATAAATACCTACATAACACCTACATAAGGTGTTGGAGCTCAAGCGAATAATTTTTACTGTCACCATCGAAATACAAACGCTAAGACCATCATCAACATTGTCACTGCAATCGATCATCGTATAGACTTGGCCTCCTTCAACAAGTCACGCCACCAATCCCGATTGCAATTCTATGTCTTCTAATTAGGCACTCTTAGGCTCCGAATATCTTGATCTACGTATAATATCCTTTCAACTGCGCTGCTTTTCACGATACAAAAAACTTAGTTTTTCTTCCGAAAGAGGTAATACGTTTGACAGCTTTTTAAATAAGCACACAAATTTCTAATGCATACGAAATCACTTTTAGGATTACTGTTTCTGGAATGTTGAGGTAAGGTTCCTGAACTTGAAGAACCTTAAGCCTTGTCGAACTGGAAAACCTTACAACGTTATGAGGCAACACAGTTACAATTGTGCCTGTATATATAAAGTATGAAAAATCCAACTTTTTTATGGTAAATAAATAAAGGTGATTTATTTTTTAAGTCCTAATAATAACAGAAGGTGGCGTTGATGTGTTGGACAAAATATTAAGTGAAGCACAATATAACGACGAACATTGCCTTGGCCACTGACTAACATTGCCTAAAACATGATTAATATCACTGAATTGGTATCTTTTGTTATTTACAGAGAACATCAAGGAAGGAAGTTCCTCAAAGATCTTCCCAAATAGCTACGCATGGTTTCAATGAAAACTGTAAACAAAAAAAGATCGGTAACCATATTCTTCGAAGACCAGTAGAAATGGTGCTTAAGCATCGTATTTTGCATTATATGTTAGAAAGTTGTTCAGATATTTTTCTATAATTTGAAAATCTTATCTAAAACAAAAGTGTAGAAATTCTAAAATGTGTAACCATTTTCTTCGAAGACCAGTAGAAATTGTGCTTAAACGACATATTTTGCTTCATATCTTAGAAAGTTATTCAGATATTTGTCTAGAATTTTAATATAACATCTAAAGTAAAAGTATAGAGAACTTCTAAAATTTCAGGCCGCTGCGGTATAGGCAAAAGCAGTTGTTGCAATTGGAAAGTGCAAAAGTAACAATTGTACCTATCCCGTACGAATAGGATTAAAACACTTTAGTACGATTTGTTGAATGTGAGCAGCCATTCATAGATGTTACATGGCTAGTAAATCCTTCTAAGCATCTGTATTGTGTCTTTTACTATCATAAAATTTTTCATAAAAATTTAACTGAAATTAATATTGAACTAAACTCTTTGTATCTCAAGGTGTACCAGTACCACAGTTAATCTCTCCGCTTTGGTGCTTAATACATGGATTTTGCCGATGTCCAACTCATGTTCAATAACGGTGACATCTGTAGTCATATGAGCGCTTACTTTTTAAGGACTTAAGGACTTAAAGGATATGACGATGTTGTAGATATATGTTTCAAGTTCCAAAAATTCACAACTGCTTGCTGTAGCGTACAAGAAAAATTAAAAGAACTGTTATAAGAACAAGAAAAGATGTAATAAATTATATTTTCCACTACACAAAAATATTTGGAAAAAAGAAAAATCAAAAAAAATAAATTAGAATAAATGCTCGTTTGAAAAGTTTACAAAATAAGATATTTGGAAAAATAACTGAAAAAAATAAAAACTTAACTAAGCGCAAAAATTTAATACTGGCACCTGCTACACAGATGCTTCAGTTTTCACAAATAACAACTGAAAACTACAAAAGGACGAAGGGATGAAGGGATGAAGGGACGAAAGTTAGGAAGGAAGGCGGGAAGGAAAAGAAAACTTATACTTGATAACATTTGTCTAACTGGAAGCTGCAGCTTTAATGGCAACATTTCTTTAATAAAGGCCATTAAGTACAGAACTGCAACATGCAATATGAAGCTTAAAATTTTCTAAAAAATTTATTAGAATAACTTTTCATCCGTTAAATGTGAAGTTCGTTAAGTGAAAGGATATAAGCCTTTCACTATTTACCCTAGAAGAAACGCTCTGAAGGTGATGTGCCAACAATTTCGACACACACAGATACATACCGAGATCTTTTGATTTTATTTATTGTTTTCAACACTTCACTTAAAATTGTTAAATTCCTTCGGTGCTTACAAAGCATAGGAGAAGTTAAATGAGGTACTGGATGTATCCATTTTTTCTACCTAATATATAGTATGAATTACTTCTTTCACGTTCATTCAATGAAACAAATTTTAAATTCCACTGTAGTTATCTTCTCTCCTTGAAACCTTCAATTATTTGTGTAATTTTTGGAATTGCATTAAAAGTTGCTTCAGTACTCCTTGCTCAGTGCTTTAAGTGCGCCATAAAAGTATCTTAAGCATGAGTTCATCCGTATCTGTGTATCTTCAACAAATCGTAATACATCAAGCGCAACAACGGCAATTAATTTGTGTTGATTATTTTACTCTGTTTTCACGTTTTTTATTTTTTATTTTTTTTTTATTTTGTATTTTTTAAGTTCAACAAATTTTTCGGGTGTTAAATTGAGTTTCATAAATCAAATGTAACGAGCAACTTTCTTCACCTCTTGGCATTGTTGATTTTCGTTTTAAAAAGTCATTTCAAACTTTTCAAATAAAACTTAAGAAAAATGGGAAAATTCTAACAATTACTGCTCAGGGTTTAACGCTGATCAAAGTTTTTCCTTTTAATTTTGCTTTTGGGCTTTGGTAAGAAGTTTTTTCCATTTTCAAAAGATTTCGAATTGTTTATAAGGAATTTATTTAATAAGCAATAAACAAATTGTTTATGATGCAGTTATACTTTAGACCAAAGAAATAGTACTTAAATCTAGATACAACTTATATCTTATATTTGTATCTTTGTATCTTTGTAAAGGAATTTCTTATTAAAACGTGGAATTTTAACTACATTTCAACTACAGTCCAAAAAATAAAATAGTAGGTTCAAAGGATTTGAAATTGTGTAAGGATCTTTTTTGTGTATGGGTCTTAAACACTTAAAAAATACACACACAAGTTCAACAATCATTTAACAATAATAACAATCAATAATAACAATCATTTAACAATAATATTAGTTCATATAATGATTTTAATGGTACGAAGGCGGTTTGATAAGTCAGTGACTTTTTGAATTACCCGCGCAGTTACTCCAAATGCAACAGTGCTGCCATCAGCTATAATCTACCAGTTTGATAGCCGTTCAAAGCAGACAACCTCGTGAATTTTTACGAAAATGGAAAAAAGTGAATTTCGTGTGCTTATTAAGCATTATATTCCCAAATCCACGAATTGGGATACAAACTGCTACCCCATCCAGCATATTCTCCAGATTTAGCCCCCTGCGACTATTTTCTGTTTCCAAACCTAAAGAAATGGCTGGGCGGTAAAAGATTTGAGTCGAATGAAGAAGTCATTACCGAAACAAACGCGTATTTTGAGAGCTTTGAGAAAACCTATTATTTGGAGGGAATAAGAAAATTAGAAAAACGCTGCACTAAATGTATCGAGCTAAAAGGTGATTATGTAGAAAAATAAAATGTTTATTTGCCGAAAAAAAATTTGTTTTATTCAAAAGTTCACTGATTTATCAAACCGCCCTCGTATTTTTAATCCGGCTATAGGTCACTTTGTGTTAAAATTCAACGTTTGTTTAATATTTTTTAATATATTCTACATTTCAACTCTCAACTCGAGAGTCACTTTTAGTTAGTAATAGTTAAGATCTTGAAACTTAAAAAGAAAATGGCGGTAGTTTAGTCTAGTCAGAGGAACTCAAATACTAGTTACTTAAGCTTGAGTTTACATTAAAACAGTTTAAAGTTTTTTATGATTACCGTAATCTTGGTGGCCCATTATCTTATCGTAAAAAATGCTTCAAGGATTTAATAAGTATTTCAAACCTTGTAGTTCAAACCATTGGCCTCAGGCAATGATGGAAGATGCTTTCGCTAAGCAAGGTAGACTTATACACTTAACCTTTTTTTACTTTACTTATTTCTTTATCTTCCTTATTTACTTATAATAGTCTATAAGGTGGTTACTTATAGAGTTTTTAAGTTATTTACTTTATTTACTTAGTTAATTATTTATTTACTTTACTTATTTACTTCTTAGAGTCTACAAACTAGTTAGTTTACAGTTTGTAAACGTCAGATCTTCCGCAATGATGTTTGTCATTTTTGTGAAATGGACATCCCCAGCTAACAGCACTTTTATTGTGAGTCTTCACTTCCTAGCAGATAAAGGCTTTACCACTTAACTGGTATTGTTATTCTTCCATATAAACTATGGAATAACAAACCCCAAACTGTGTCACGAATAATTACCTATGTCATCTAGCATTTTAAACTTAAATAGCACTCGCACCTATCAAGAACAAAGTAGATATGGACTATCTTTTCATCTATCTTACAATTAAGTATACGAGGCTTTAAATTTAATATTCTTAGTATCAGACTGAGACTGATATATCTGACAGTGACAAAAATTGGAACAACTCTACATCTATCTCGCAGCTGAGTCCATAAGGCGTTGAAGGCAATATTCATAGTATTTGACTGAGACTAACATATTTGAAGACGACGAGAAGTGAATCAATTCTTCATCTATCTCACAACTGAGTACATGAGGCTTTGAAGTCAATATGTATAGTATTGAACTGTGATTGATATATCCAACAGCGAAAACTCACTCACCCAAGTAAAGCAAACCCAATTAAGGGCGCCATTTGTGGTATAGATTGTTTACCCTAAGGAGTCACAATACAATAAGTCATCAATTAGGTCCAGAAAGTAGCTTTATCGGATCTCCTTAACTTTAACTGGATAACCTAAAGGTTTAACATGAATAAAGTAAGAAGTAGTTAGTGTAACTTTGGTAATATTTGTCTCAGTTTAAGTGTCCTTTAAATGTGAACTAACTTTAGGTGGCTAGGTGAGGACTAGGTAAGGCTAAGTGAGATATTTTTTGGTTTCTGTTTTCTATATTTTTCTTGCTTGACGTCACATCTAATTCTATAGTTTTTCACACGAAGAGTGGTTTGTCGTCAATTTCTGTTTAAACTAGCGCCATAACTATTTGGACTTGAACGTGACCATACATATTCGTGAGG